AGTTGTTAAGGATATTTATATAATTGCAAATGTAGTTTCAAAATCTTAATAAAGCACTAGTGTGACTGCTTAAGTTTTAAAAAAAAAAAAAAATTGTAATCTTTGATATAAACTAAAAAATTAGATTAAAAACTATAAATTTAAAATTAATATTTAATAAGTTTATTATAGATAAACTAAAAAAATTTTTATTAAATTTTTTTTAAAATTATACATTTTTAGTCTATAAGCAATCTAATTTATTTTTATAATCTAAAAATAAATATTCAAAAAAGTAATCCTTATTTTCAAATATTATTATACCAAATTTTATTTATATAATTTAATATTTTAAAAAAATAGATCAGAGTCAAAAATACAAAAACATACTTAAATTTGTTTGCAATAGTTTATATTCTAAGAAATAAAACTTATTGATTTTGTTTTATTTATAAAATATGTTGTAAAGAAAACTAATATATATACTCTTCACTTAAGCTTTCAAATAATGTATTGGAATACTAATATAATTCTAAAAACTTTTTATTACAAACTTATAATAATTATTTAATAAATATTATTACTATAAAATATTTAAATAAATTATCATACAAAAATAAAGTTTAAGAAAAAGATAAAATATAAATAAGTTTTATTAAGAAGTGTGATAATATAGTAAAGTAGACAAATTATTAATTTCTCAACTAGTAGATTGTGAGTTCAAAACCTACTGATAGCAAAAATTTAGATAATTATCTATATATTATATTAATAGTTTTTCTGTTAATTAGTTGAAATAAAATATCTGTAACTATAATTGCATTAACATACTGGCAAGTTATAAGGCATCTATATAATCTTGGTTATATAGAGATATATAAACCAGTATTAAACAGTGTAAATCTAAAATAAGTTATATGTTGTATAAATTCATAGAATTGAGAAAAACCAAAACTTATTTGAAAAGACCTAAGTAGAAAAATAACACAGATCTTTGATAGTATTATTGTAAAAGCTAAATCTAGAAAACAGGTATCAATGTAAAGGATCTGAATAGGCAAGAACCTCAAGGTAAGAGATATCACCAACTAGGTTGCTAGAATCAAACCAGAAAAAAAATATCAGATTGACTTGATATATCAAAAACAGTTCATAGTTCTATTAGACTATCTAAATTAGAAGTCTAAGATCAAAGCAAAAGTATACTATAAGTACTAGAGATATGCTGTAAACTAAATGCTAAGATTTGAATAAATTCTACAAGAGCTAGTCTTGTTAATGTTCTATAGAGTAAACAAGTAATTAACAAGAAAACACCCTAAACCTTACAGTTAGGTAACATGCTCTGGAATGTGTAATAACCTAACAGATATTCAAAAGAGAAGGCTAAATGTTGGATTAGATAATACTTAGTTGTACAGGAATCAGGCACTACACATCTGGATGCAGTATAAGAATCAAAATGTTTAGATAGGTACTTTTCTAGTAGCTTACAGATATAACAGCTAGTGTAAAACCTTCAGGCAGACTACTTAAATTAGGTAACAAAAGTTACATATGTGACTAGTTGTACATAATGCATTGGCTAAAACACAAATAAAGATGGTAGCTACTGATAACATCAGCCTTAGCAAAAAGCAAAAAAAAAATAAAAAAAAATAAAAAATAACTTTTATTAGAAAAAAATTTGTGTATTTCTTTTAATTTACTTCATTTATAAATATTTTAAAATAAGATAAGTTTAACTATTTTTAAATATTAATAGTTGAAGCATTTTATTTAAATTTATGTTAATTAAATTTTCGGATTTATTTTTAGTTAATATTATGTATAAATTATTTGAAAGCATCGCTTTAACAATGCTTTGGCATTGGTCTGGCTCTTTTTTTAAAAATAATTAAAATTTAAGCTTTGAATATATTATTTCTAATAATGTTTAAACAGAAATTGTAAATATAATAAAGAAAAACTAAAAAAATATGACAAATTAGAAAATGTTATGCTTTGAATTTTCAAGGCTGAGTTTATTTAATTGCAAGTTTAAAAGCTTGAAGTCTGGTTTTCTTTTAATAATATTCGAATACAAGCAAAAAACTGTCACTTTGTTTATTGCTTTGTACATTTCTATATATAAGCAATATGTGATACTTAATAGTCACATGCAAATATTTTTATTCATCAACACGGCTAAAGTCTTAATGGATTTGATCCTCAATGAATTCTAACTTTCGCCTTTCGCCGGGGGTTTCGCCATTTCGCCAGGGGTTTCGTCTTTCATCTTTCGCCTAACAACTCTAGTTGAATGCATGCGCCAGTGAAAATTTTTATGACTTTGAGAAAGTAAATTAATTCTCACAAAATGATTTCTATATGTTTTGCGAAATGCTAATATTGCATAAATCAAATTTAGCCGCATCTAAAAAAAAAAAAAAATTAATTCTAATTAATTCGATTCATTTGACAGAATGAATGACGAAAGAAATAAACTTTTGTGCGTGTCACACATGATTTATATCTGCAAGCACTCAAACTCCGACCCGTGGCTTGTCAATGTTAAGTTATTCTCTTCGATTATAACAGTTGGGTCATGCGGTTGTACAGTGTCACTTTCGAATATATAAATTCAACTTCAAAGAAAATCTACGTTTAATATATGTTATAATTACTAGATTCGTTAGTCCATATACAGTTTAAATCTATACTGTTCCTTACATTTTTGATACTTTTGAGAGTTACGTGGTTAATAAGGTCCTAGTTTTCGTCAACGATCTTCGAAGCATGGCTAGTCCTGACGAACAAAAAGAGCTAAGGAAGAAATCAGAAAAAGAAGAGTTAGAGTTCTATGCCAAATTCGAACAAAAAATCCAGCCCGCAATCGAAGAGTTCCGAAGCAGTTTTCCAAATGGTCCTTATTCTCAACCAAGAGGACCAATGCCACTAGGCAATTGTGAAATTCCCTTCGACGAATGGTGTAGTTACCTGGTAAAAGCGCCGCCACCAACACTAAAACAGCGACAGTATTTGTCCCAGCCTCCGCCTCCGGCGCAACAAAAAAACGCTACGCTAGTTGCACATATCCGACAAATTCAGGTCGGCTCGGATAGGCCCGCTAACAATACTGTTTCCTCGAACTCTTCAAAAAAGAATATCGACTATCTCGACTTTCTTGAAGGGTAAGTAATAATATCGATATTCTAATCATGACACTAATATCGAGATTTGATAGTCCAATGTTCTATTGTGACACTGATTATTTATTGAATTATATGTAGTATAAAATACTTAATAGAATACATTTTTTTCTCCTAATTAAAAAAGGCTTTCAAAACAACAGAGTTATGATAGTTCTGGCTTTAACAAATCAATGGAGGAAGCAGAGCACTTAGGAAAATATGTGAGGTGAATAACGCCACGATAATGATCCTTCACAAATTTTTCATCATCGTATGATGATTAATTATGTGGTTTTCTGATGGTTTAGCACACCGAAAAATATGAAATTTAATACGTCGGATAATTCGAGCACTTATGGTGCACCGAATAAAACGAACAGAAAAGATCCTTTATCAAACGGAAAAGCAAATATAGATGCTGGAAAAAGGGACTTTACGAGAGATGACGCTAAAAGCGTGCTGGAGGTAATAGCAAGTTTTCATTGATTCTTTATCAACACATTCACATAGTTGGCTGATTGTTGCACTTCTGAAATTTAATTAGAAATTTTACGAAACGCGAAAAAGAAAAGCACCTATCACGATACCTACCCTGGATGATGTCGAAATTAAGAAGAGGAACAAAGGCAAAGATGTGGCAACAAAACGCCCTCCAAAAAAGTTACCAATCACAAAAAATTCACGCGTGCAGAACTATAATAAGCGGAATTATATCAAGGATGTCATTATGAAAGATCGAGAATTCACGCATGATGACGAAAAAGCTTTAGGAGATCCTTCACCATTACCTACCACAAATAATCCGGTCAATAATGATCCCCAAAAACCTGTTAAACAGCTAATAGTTAAATTGAAAATCCCACCAAGAAAGCAGGATTCAAAGTCAGATGATAATAGTACTACTGCATCATATCATGAAAATTCTTGGTCATCACAACAAAAACATTCGAAGGCACCTGATGGAAATAAAGGAGTAAAACCTTTAGAAAATGGGTCAACAAAAGGAACGAAAGTGACCAAAGTTCGAGATTATCAGGATAGTTCTCGCAACGTAAAGCGGAAATTAGCCAAAGTTACGGCAGAGTCAAATGCTCAGCAAACCGATATAATGGAGTCCGATGAGACGTCCAGATCACAAAGTATTGTACCAATTACTGTCGAACAACGCACACTTGGTGTTCGATCTCCTGTCATAACTGTCCAAACCGTCGGTAATAAAACCGATAATGTTTCTAATACAAGATCAATCGAAGTTCAGACAGACCCAATAGATATACAGCAAAACTTAATAAACACACAGCAAAACTCAATAAACACACAGCAAAGCTCAATAAACACACAGCATCAAGAACCCGGAAATGATGAGGACCGAGCGGATATGGCACAATTTCATCATGCATTATTTGAACGTAAAAGTGCCATAGGCCGTGAATACAAACATCGAGCCGAAAAAGACACAGAGAAACGATCACCATTGGAAAAGGTGTCCGATTATCTGGAATCCTTTCTACGCTATACTGAAGCTGTTTTTCATCAACATGAAGCCGATAAGAACGGTTACGAATATAATTTTAAGTACCTTAATCTTGAAAAATTATTCGACTTTATCCGAGCCACAATCGAAAAACAAGGGAACGAGACTCCTTTGGCCGGTCTTGTCAAGTTTGTCAAAGCAGTGATCCTATTTAAACACTGGCAGATTGAACAAAACCGTTTCCGTCAGGTTGAGAATAACCTTCAAGATTATTATATTAATGATTCATCAGATTTAGATTCTAAGAAAGCTTTTGACGAATATTTGAAGTAAGCTGGTTTTTAAGTATTTGAATTGCCTGAACAACAATTACATATACGTATATACATATATATATGGTTTTATTATTTTTTAGTTGTTTAGAGTCAATGAAGAAACAGATGACAAAGATTCACCAAGCTTTTGAAGAGTCAAAGAACCAGTTGGAAAATCGAGATTTAAAAATTAATGCTGATCTTAAAGCAACATTGATCTTTGCGCAGGAGATGGTGGATAATTGGAGAAAAGAGCGAGGAATCGTGTTTACTCAAATTGATATATAAATTTTCAAACGTTCGGGCATAATACTAATCTGACAGTCTATAAAATTTAATCATCACGTGCATTTGGACACGTGCCATCACACTATTTATTAACGTTAATTCTGAAGTGACGTGTTATACGACCTTTGCATCAGAGACCTGGAAGATTATGGTATTGTAAAATATCGACATGGACGTAATTTTTAAGTCTGTAAAAATATGAATTTTTTGATTGTAAAATTTATAAAAATATGGATTTATTTGGATATAAACTTTATTAATATTTCATAGAACTAGTTATTATAATACAATGTAACTTTGTGTTACGAGATCTTAATTATTTAGTACTGCATTGGTTTCTTTTTTTTGTCATTTGTAGCAAAAACTTAATAAAAAGGAAGGCCAAGGTTTCGCAGGAAATGGTCGCGTTATAAGCACAAGAATTAGAAATTTTAGAAGAAACAAAAGACTAGTTCACATTTTATTTGATCTTTTCAACATTTTACAAGTTCATAGGTTTGTGTATCTGCTTTTTAAATATTTAAGGATCTAGTCTAAAATTCCTGAGATTAAATTAGGTTTTTCTGTTAGATTATTCTATGGCTATACCAAAAATTTCGCAAGTGATTTGTTTAAAATTTTTCACGTTACACCTTATCTTGAAATTTGATTGGCCAGCGAAATGGTAACACTAGTGTTAGGAAATAGTTTTAAATTCATTAATCTGTTATATCACCCTTCATGTTCATCATATCATGTATATATAATTAATTGTTTTGACTAATTTAATATCTTAACATCTTTTATCAATAGATAATAGCAAAAGATGATTTAAAATTTTATGGCATCATGAACAAGTCTTCTATCAAATATTTTTAAAAAAACAAATTTTTTGTTGATAAGATAGAAAAGAAGTCAGCGCATGTGAGTAGACCAATTTGCAGAAGTAAATATAACATTAGATTTGAATAATGGAACAGATTTGCGGATCAATTTGTCAGTTATAATAGAACTACGGGTCGACACAAACTAAGCGTTAAAATATTCAATTTTATGGTATCTAAATTACTTTTTTCCTTAAACATTTGTCTCATCATGTCGTCAAATTATAAATTAAAAATATAAACTACTGTTACAGGTAAATATTCAACGTTTTAAAGGTTCTTCAGATTATATGCGTTCTAGATTGAATGAAAACCCTCAGTGTTCTCGGCAGATCCTTCACTTTCATTAAATATAATCGATCTGGTACCTTGATATACTTGTATAAGTATACTGTATTTTGGCAATAGGTGCTTCAATTTCATCCCAAAGAAACGATTTTTTTAAAAAAAAATTAATGCGAATATCTCAATTTCTAAAGCTCAACTTACTTTTTTTAACTTACCTGAAACACCACAACCATTCTATCCTGTCCCTCAACAATTATAGCCATATAAAATTTAACTTGTAACATTGTGATACCTTCGTTGATTATGATATCGAAAATTTTTGAACGTTCGATGAATCGGGAAACACATCTACCGTTTATGTATACAGTTTCGACCTGTATGCCAATATCGCGTATCGATAAGATGCTTTCTTTTGATTAATTTGGTATTTAATTTGAGGAAGAGGTTATCAAATATGTACCGTTTTTTTATTTTATTAAAAACGAGTAATAATTTATGTCGTACCCTGTTTAACTATATTAAACTTTGTCCAAAGCCATATTGTTAACAGTGTTATGCACATTCCATACGATATTGGTGTCCTATTCTATCTCAGAGAAAACAGCGCTACCCTTTAAAACCTATAAACTTCACAAATAAATAAATAAAATAAAAAATTAAAATACCATCAATCCAATTACTGCAGCAAACGCGAAAGCGTATATTATGTCAAGAAATCCAAAAAATGATTGGTCCGATACTATCGTATAGACTCTGGCATTGTCAGCTAGTATTTTGAAGTAAAATTGCGATTTTTTTACCGAGGTAATTGTGGGATCGAGATTTGACATGATGTGAATTGTGTACCCCAACTAATAGCCATTTATCCTGAGAGTAAATGACCCGGATTGCTTTACGGTTATGTAAATTAATGCCTGAATACAGATTTCACTCTAATGATCAGCATATTTATAATGACCTCAAACTAAAATTTAAACCATCACCATGACAAATTTAGATTATTCAAATTATTTAAAGGAAAAAAAAAATTTTTTATAAAAAACTTTGAAATGAATTGGTTTCATCTTTTTCTCTTATTCTCTTATGGATACGCCTAACGATATTTCCGAAAGTGCTCATAGTATGATGAGAATTTGTGATGAGGCAAGTGTGTCATTAAAGAACTTATCAACCATATTATACTTTAATGCATATGATACGTTGCTTAATAAATACGGATGATGACACAAAGCCATCCAATCTTTTCGTTGACCTATCTTTATCTCTTTCTGCTTCTCCATTTGCAACCGCACTTCATCCAATGGAGCGATTAGTAGTTTCATAACGCCTGAATGATTTATTAATACTGGATTAACGATATACACAAGCCATCGAAACGCTATTTTCTTTCTAACTCCAAAATCTTTGTTGTATGAACAGATTGAAAACTATGAAGACAGTGAAAATGATGATAAATATTCATTACAATTTAATCTTGCTTCAATTACTATTGGAAATTACAAATCTAAAAAGCTTGAAACTGTAACAGTGTCTTTTAACTCTGAAAATGATGCAATTTGTTTTGAACTTGAGTGCGGGCGATTGGATATTCAGTTTATGGGTGTTGAATCTTATGAACGAGATGACCGGAAGATTTGTTTAAAATTACGAAATGATATAATTAAATGGATCTTGCCAGTAATTATTGGTCTATTTATACAATACGATAAACACCTGTTTTTTAGGACGGGACATTGAAAAGTTTTTTATAGGTCCAAACAAGAATTACTGAAAACGAAATTACAATCTCCATTGATCCAACTTGTGGCGAATTGTTAAAGGCAGATAAAATTATTATGTTCGTTGCAGACTACGAAAACGTATCAACTTTGGAAAAGGAATTTTGGTAGGCAAATAATAGTAAAATATGGTTTTTTATAAACTTAATAGTTTTATTGTCCTATTGTATTATAGTCGTATTCAAGAAAAAGCTTTCCATTCGACTTCTCTCGCCTTTCAATTTCAAAAAGGAGACGAGGAGGTTAGACATTTTACTAAATATTAGGGTTTCATCTTCAATATTTTTTCACTTCACATATTCTGTTTTATAAAAAGATCGAGGTAATAGTCGAATACAAAACCATCCGCCATTTTCACTACATCCCTCTTGAAATGAATTTTACTCAATTTCTCATAATTCTGCGACGAGAGTTTCACTCACAACAGATTCACCCACCATTACGATATGTACCGGGCCGTTCTGGAGCTATTGGTATTTATAATGAGGAGGATTGGTGCAGTTATAAATTAGAAGCCGCGAAGAGGCAACGCGGAAAGAAAGAGATTTTGGATGTATTCTTAGATGATTAAATTTTTTTGTAGAATAATGATTTGTTTATTGATTGATTTACCATAACAAAAAAACAGTAATAATATGCTTATCCGTTGTCTTTGTGCTGCGTGCAGTGTAAAGCGTAAAGACAGCAGAATAGTTATTTCCTGCAAATATATTACCTTAATGTAATGTCTTCCTTAATTTGATATTTTCCAAATAACGAACTGCATTATAGCAAAGGTGGAGAGTCTTTTACAGTCAATCGTAACTGGTCTGTTGTATAGTCTAAATATATATATATGTGTATATATATGTTGCAAGTGAGAACGGAATTCAAGTTGATTCGAATTTTTAGAATTTCCGCTCCAATCTAATTTCCATTCCCATTTACAACATATACATCCATCTAGAATAGTTTAACGGCAGAGTCCGAATCGATTAAATTACAGTAATAAGCTATGTAAATTTTTTTTTATTCTCTAATTTTACATTTTGCAGAAAAATTTTCTTTTATTAAAAATAGAGAAAAAATACTATTTTCATAAAGGTGTCCATTTTACAGTGACCATATTTCAATTCCGACCTACTTAAAGGGAACATCATAAAGTTCTTTTAGATAAACGTAAAAATATCTAAAGTATACACGGTGAATCTTCTGATTTTGATGTAGCAAAGTGCTTTAGTCTTTGGTAAATTAGGAAAAACACAGAAATATTAGATGGTGGAAAGGCAAAACTTTAAATGCCATTGTTTAAAGAAGAAAAGGACATACGAGCAACGAAGATTTCATTAACATGTTTCTCAGTAATAAATATAATAGGTCGTTGTGAATAAGAACGATTATTCCTTATGAGTCGTATCATTTTTGGTTTTAAATTTACCAAAGATACGCAATCGAAGGATGAAATGAAAAGGTGAACGAACGAAGGTGATTCGTCCGCAAAAACAAATTCTCCTCATTTATTATTAAAAAAAAAAAGACAAGGAAATGATAAAGACAAACACAATATCTGAAAAAATTTGGGATTTAATTTATATATTTAACCTTTATAACGATAAATCACCTGATAATTTATTTTGAGAATGTAACGTTTCAAAAGTATGATAAGCCTTTATAGAACTCAAAATAAAAAAAAATTTTATTGAATTGGGTCAAGTGGTTGCTGAGTTATCTTCGATCAAAGTTTTAAAAGAATTTTTAAAACGTCTATTACATAAAAAAGCTGCGCCAAAATTTTTATCATATTAGGGTCCGGGATAGAGTTTGGAATCGGTTTTATTTTTCTTATGTTAAATCCGATTAAAACCGGTTTTAACATAAGAAAAATAAAACCGGTTCCAAACAACAGGAGGAAACGTTGATGTTACACAATTGATTTTACACACGGTGTGAAACACATAAAAAAATTTTTTTACAATACTTGAACAATCTTGATCAGTCAGCTAGTAGATGTTATGATTATAATCCAACACCATTTTTATTATAGTAAAATGGTGTTGGATTATAATCATAACATCTACTAGCTGACTGAGCA